TCCTCCTGGCATGTCCCCCTGTCGACTAGTTCTGGGGCAGCTGCCATCTGCTCAGGCAGCTCGAGCTTAATATCCAGTTCAGTTCGGTCAGGACTCGGATTCCAGGGAGTACTCGATCCACAACGCTATCTAGAGCACAATCGCGGCATGGAATATCGCAGTTCAGCACGGCCCAGCACAACACAGCCGTCGGCACGGTACATCAAGATCGATACATTCAACATTGCACCTTGGCACGTTCCTTGGCGCGTTCCGTGGCGAGTCCACCTGGCACGTCGCGCGGCACGTCCCTTAGCCCGTCCCGCGGCAAGTCCATTGGCACGTTCCGTAGCGCGTCCCCTCGGCACGTCCCGCGGTGCATCTTCGTGGCACGTCTCTTGGCCCGTCACCTGGCGCGTCCATTGGGACGTTCCGCGGCGCGTCCTCCTGGCATGTTACCTCTGTCGATTAGCTCTGGGGCAGCTACAATCTGCTCAGGCAGCACGAGCTTAAGATCCAGGTCAGTTCGGTCAGGACTCGGATGCCAGGGAGGACGCGATCCACAACGCTATATAGGGCACAATCGCGGCATGGCACATCTCAGTTCAGCAAGGCGTAGCAGCACAGCCCTCGGCACAGTACATCAAGATCGATACACTCAGCATTGCATGTGCCCGTCGCCCAATCAGGTGTCTTCGAAACGTTGCCATGCCTTACAGTTCTATATATCTTTCCGGGTTCGTGGGTCGATCATGTTTTTTACAATATAGATAACTGCAAGATGAGGAGGAGAGTGCCGAGGAGAAGGCAGGCGAGGCAGGAGGAGAGGGAGGCGCAGGGCGCGCGAGCCCCAGAACTCACCTCTGCCCGCGTGCCCACGCGGCCCGCTCCGGCCGAGCCGCCTCCGACCGCCTCCGGGGGGCACGCTCCACGGGGGAGCGGAGAGCGTGCACCGCCCTGGCCGAGCTGGGTCCGAGGGGCCCTGGGCGCCTCGCGCCGCAGCGCCGAGGCGCCCAGGGCCTTCGCCCTCGACGTCTCCGGCAAACTCCTGGGGGGGCGCCCTCCTCCTCCTCCTCCTCCTCCTCCTCCTCCTTCTCCTCCTCCTCCTGAGGAGGAGGAGGAGGAGAGGAGGAGGAGGAGAGGAGGAGGAGGAGGAGGAGGAGGAGGAGGAGGAGGAGGAGGAGCAGGAGGAGCAGGAGGAGCAGGAGGCGGCGTCGCAGGGAGGGGGCGCACGAGCTGTGCGCCCCCTCCCTGCGCCTCCCCTCCTCCCTGCGGAGCTCGCTCCGTGTGGCCGCTGCCGGACTGGGGGAGAGCAGCCGGCTCTCGTCCTCGCTGCCTCTCCGGCCCCGCTGCGGGCCCCTCGGCGGCGCCGTGGCCGCTGCGTCCGAGGGGGTGCTGGGCCCCACGCCGGCCCACGCCCAGCAAGCGAGTGGACCCCCAGAAGCCTCCTCCTCCTCCTCCTCCTCCTCCTCCTCTCTCTTCCTCCTCCTCCTCTCCCCTCTCTCCCTAAGACCGACCTCCTCCTCCTAACCAAGGGAAAAAGAAGGGACATCACTCATCGTCGGGGAACTGCATTGGAGCATGCACATGCATTCGTGCAGGGGAAGGAAGGCAGCAGCAGCGGACAGAGAACCACCTACGAAGGCAGCCAGCGCACCACGGGGCGCCCCTCAGGAACGGGCGAGGCAGGAGCCACCGCGGCGAAAGCCCCACTGGACGCGTTCGAGGGAGGCCACGACCCATCGGCGAGACGGGCGGGGGAGGGGAAGGCGTCGAGAGCTCCCACGGAACGACCAGGGACGCGGCGCGGGAAGGGTCCGAGGCTGGAACACACGTCCGACATCAGACCAGAGAGGAGCGCCGCCGTGCGGTCCTGGCCTTCAGGGAACCAGGATCCTTCATCCTCCCCCGTCCTGCGGGCAAAACAGAGAGGAGCCCGCCTTCTTCTCCTGCTAAGGGCGGGAGGGGGGGGAGGGGGAGGGGGGAGGGACAGGTGAAGCCGAGGCGGAGCTGCCTCAGTCCACACTCCCACGAACGAGTCGGCCACTCTTTCCCAAACGACTTCAGGAAGGGCCAGAATTTTTTGCACCTGCACGGGCAGACACAGAGCAGCTCTCGAGGTCGGCGCCTCGGTTCGGCAAGGGGTATGGATAGACCACACAGCAGGCACTTGCCTGTCGACAGCGGCCAAAAAAAGGCGAGCGGCGGCACGGACCCAAGTGTTCTCTCTCCCGAGAATCTCGCGGGCAGTTTCAGAGGCCCACGGGACCCCCCACTTGAACCTGGAATCGCGCCACGAGCTAACAACTAGATGGGGTTCGGGAGGACGGTAGGCCATTTCCCAAAACATCCTATCACCGAGAACGCAGAGGCCAGCAACGAATCCTTCTTCGATGGCATGCTGAATGCTTAGGACTAAATCGAGATCCAGCGTAAACTTCTGCGGCTGGCTGGTCCAAGCCGCAATGACCCGCACCTCGATCCCGATGTCGCTGAAATGCTCACAGAACCAAGGGGACAGGGAGACAAACAAGTCGTAGGAGGGAACGAGGATAACGACATAGGATCTCCCCTGAAGAGAAGGGATCCTGGGCACCGTGGGGTCTTGCGAGGGACGCGTGGGCTCCTCCACAGAGACAGACGGAACCTCAACCGACAAAGCGCGAGGAGCCACAACAACAGGGCGGAAGGGGGCACCAAGCACTTTGCGAGATGGGACGTGAGCGAAGCACTCACTGAGACCTTTGGATCTGTTGTCGCTCTTGACACGTTTTCTGTCCTCAATGGCTTCAACCAACTCCGAGGGGGAGGGACGGAGCGGGGAGGAGGCCCAAGCCAGCCTACAACCTTGAGCGCCCTGAACATGTTTCAGAAGCCTCGCACCGTCCCAAAATTCGGTAACGCAGAAGGGGCACACAGTGCCCGTGACAAAATTGGTAGGGCTCTCAGAGGTCTTATGGGTCTTACCCACATGAACCTTGATAGTCTTGGGGTCGTCCGCCGTGAAACCACACGTGTAGCAAAGGTATTTGACGATGGGAGGGGAGGACAATTGCGTACCAGCATTGAGAGTGGGGGGTTCACCTGGGGTCTGACCTTCCACATCCTGAGTGGCAGGGCGCACAGCAACCATGGGCGTGCGCTCTTCTGCTTCAAAATCTGTGTCTGGTCTTGACTGCTTGAGCTGCTTGACCCAGTGGTCGTGCTCTAAGTCCTCAACGAAAAAATGCTTAGCCGCCTTCGCAGCCTTGGCCACAAGGCCTTTGAAAACGCCTGGCATGCGGCGGGCAAGCTCGAGGAGTTCTTCGATGTACTCTTGGTCACTTTGATCCGTGGGAAAACGAAAACGTCGCATCCATAGCATATCTGCTTGAAGAAGCTGGGGCCAACACTTCGGCACACTCCAGAGAACATCGATCGACACTCTCACAGCTGGCGGGGCGCGAAGCAGTATGCTTGGGGGCATGCGCAATCTGGCAACCGACAAAACTTGGTCGATGGCCAATCGTTGGGTTCTGAGGTAGACCATAACATTGGAGTCCTGGTCCCTGGTGTGATTTCGGAGGCCCTTGTTAGCAGCCGTACGATACACCTGGGAATGGTAGGCACGGAGCTTCCTAGCAAGGGAATCAGGGATGTCATCCCAAACTCCAGCCGCATAAAGGAAACGAGTAGCCCCTAACGTTTCAGCGTACCGAACCTTAGTTTGAATCGAGAGGAGCGGGGGGGGGGGGGACACAACCTTCTTGATGGGTCGGAGAGCACCAACCATGGAAGCGTTCCTGGCACATATTTC